CCCAAGCCCGGACACGACCTCCCTAGGCCACCGAGGTGCCCATCCGGAGGGAAGGAGCCACAGTGACCACGGGGCACGTGGGCACAGCGGCTAAGGTGGGCACCTGCCCAAGCGAATGTCCCTGCGACCCCTCGTGTATGCACAGTGGGGGAGGGGAACTTTGCTTATACTTTGTGCCTTTCTGCATTGACATTCTGGACCGGCAGGTAGAACCTTTGAAATACTCCAAATCAAGATAGAACACGTTTTTTTTTTTAATTGTGATTATAAATCCAAGTCTGAGCAATAATCCTTTAAACTGGCAGCTCCCTCACCCCCCAGAGAACACCAGCTACACCCCAGAGTTTCTGACTCGGGAGGTCAGGGTGGGGTCCACACAGTGGCATCTCCAACAGGTTCCCAGGGGTGCCAGGGACCCCACGTGGAGACTGCTCCTGTGACCCTCATTCCAGAAAAACAGCGCTACAGCCCACCACTATTTCGGGGCTGCCGCACTCTCTCTGGGCCCAGAGACTTACAGGGGATGACCTGGGGGCACCCACAGTTTGCTGGAGCTGTGGCCTCCTGGCTGGGAGCCTCCACGCCCGGCTTTGCTCCCACCGCAGCAGGCAGGGTGCCTGAAGCCCCCCCGCCTGCTGCCCCTCGAGGGGCGGGCGCCGCCTGCCGGGCTTTCCGTGGCCAAGGGCTGCCCGGCACGCGCCCTGAGATCTCTTGCCTCCCGCCTCTTGTGCTCCCCGGGGCCGGCCGGCCCACGCCTTTCTCGCTGGCACGGCTCCCACTTGGTCCCCTAAGCCCGCGTGGACGCAGAGGGCGGCTGCTGCTCGGACCTGGTGCATGGCCCTCCCCTGGGGTCCCCTGCAGGACAGGTGAGCCTAGCCTCACTTCACTCATTGTCGGGGGCAGCGCTCTGTGCCCCCCGGGGGTCAGGCTAGGCCCCCCAGGTGGGGGCGAGCGGGGGTGGTGGGAGCAGGGGCGTGTCTGAGCTTGCCCTTTTCCAAGGGGTGTCCAGTGCTCCACGGCCCAGCAGGCCCCGCTGGGTGGAGCCCACTGCAGGCTGGGTTGGTGTCAGGAGCCCAGACCAGGCTGTCTCGCTGCCCCGCAGCTGTCTGCGTGGCTCGCGCCCGCCCGGGGCGGTGCCATCATCATGGGCCCTCAGGTTCCCGCAAGCACAGGGCTTCTGTCTGGACGCGCGCTCGCTGCTACGCCACGCTGGGCTGTAGCTGTGACTTTCCGCCTTAACTTTTAGTCTCTGTATGAGTGTGATGCTGGTTTCCCAGGGGCAAGGCGCACCGCTCTGAGCCCTTTCTGGAAGCTCCGTGAGTAATCTGGGTCCTTCCGTGGGTGTCGCCAGCAGGTGCACTTCTGGTCTTTTGAGGTCAGAGGCTAAGAGCTCTGGACCGTGTGGGATTTTCTCTCCAGCATGGCAAGGCAAAACTTTCCAGAAGGGTCCGCTGCGTCTCGTCGTTTCTGGGGACAGAGACCTTTTACTTCCCTGCCTGAGCAAGATCACAGCGCCCTGAGTTCTCCCGGCATCTGCCCCTAGGGGAGGGGCGTGGGGCGGGGGTGGAGGTGGCGACCACCACAGCGGTCACCTGTGCCAGGGCCGCCAGGGCCAGGCTTGCAGGGGGACACTCTGGGCGCTCCCAACCCCGCAGCGTGTTTCCAAGCCCTGGCTCCCAGGAGCGCAACCCCCTAATTAGGGGGCAGAGCCGGGCAGCACCAGCCGGCCAGAGGCTGCCTGCTGATATAATAACAGAGCGCTCGGGCATGCTTCTCTTGCAAAACCCTGGGCCGCCACCCCGACGTGTGAGGTGGGAGGCGGAGGGAGGGAGCGCATTTGATCTTCGGGTGAAAGGCGGCTTTATAATTGGGTCACCTGGTTCCACATCCTGAATTTCATTCTTTCCCCGTCTCGGGTCCAAACAATGGCTTTACTGTTCCGGGGTCATTTAGACGGACAGAGGGGAGCTGAGCCCAGAGGAGGTGAGTGGCCTCTGCTGTGTGACCCTGGGCCCCCACCCCAGCCGTTTGCCACCGGCCTCCTGGACGTGTCTCCTGCAGAGAGGCCGCCGCGCTCGGTCCACAAGCCCTCAGGCCACCAAAGGAAAGGGCATGCTGCGCGCTGCGTGGAGGGAGCCCCAGGAGTCCCGCCAGGTGTCGGGGAGGGGCTGCGCCCGCCCCCAGGGCTGCCCCCGCCCCCGGGCCCTGCCGGCTGGACCCCTGCACCCCAGACCCCAGGCCCACCAGGCAGCGGCTGCCGCTCTTTCGGGGTGGGGTTGGAGCCCTGTGATCCTTAGACCGGGCTGACAGTTACCCCATTTTCGCTGGGCAGGCTGAAATCTGTGACTGAGGATCAGCGTCAGCAGCAGTGTGGGCACCGTGTCCGGGAAACGCTGTCCTCCGCCGGCCCCGGCCCTGCGGCTGCATGAGCCTCGGAGCCGAGCCGCTGGCCGCTGGGGCCGCGGGGGCACGGGGGACGTGCAGACTCTTGCGCTGGGGGGCGGGGGCTCCCTCCTCTGCAGCCCGGGCTCTGCCCTGCGCGCTTCAGAGAATTGTCATCGCAGAAGTAACACACGCACTTTCCCCCCCGGCACGTTTCCACCCCAAAAGTGTGGGCCGTGACCGGTGCGCGCCCCTCCCGCCGCCCCTCCCGCCTCCTGTGAGCGAGGCTGGTGCCGGCTCTTCCAGACCCTCCGCCTGCAGCCAGGGGCTGGACGACCGTGCCTGCAGCCCCGCCTGTCCCCACTTGCGTCTCAACTCTGGGCGTCTCATCATGCTCAGTGCGTGGCAGCACACTGGGGGTACTGCTGCTTCCCCCCAGCGCTGTGTGGTGTTCTTGGGGGGGTCTGCAGGTTCCCAGGATGCGGGGGTGCAGTGACCGGACCCCTGGGGGGGTAGCTGGGGTCGATTGCTGGGCGCTTCACTCCTGGTCAGGGCTGCAGGCGTCTCTTGGACACTCACACCCCTACCCGCGTGGTCTCCCCCCCACATCATCTCCAGCCCCCCAACCTCCCACCCAGCGGACCCCGCCTGGGGTTATCTGGTCCCCTCACCCTCAACGTCACCTTCCTCTGTGGTTGTGAAAATACAGTTTGCTCAGCACAGTGGGGTGCTGGAACCCTCTGCATGGCCGTGGCTCTGCTTCTCCGGGGCCCAGGGCTGTCCCCCCCCCACCCCCGTGGAGATGCACCACGGACTCATCAAGCCACTCCAGGCCCTGGCCCTCAGGTGGCACCTGGGCCCCGCACTGGCCTCTTGGGGCCGCAGGGAGGGTGCAGAGTGGAGCCGAGCTGGCTCTGCTTCCTTTGTGCGGCTTGGGGGTCCTGGAAGTCCTGGGGAGGCAGCCACCCTGACCGCCTCCTCCCCCTCCTGCTGCCCCAAGGGAGGCCAGGGCGGGTCCCAGCTCCCAGCTCCCCCAGCCCCTCTCAGATGCTCCTCGTCGCCACCACTG